GCTACCCTTAAGAGTTACTTGGCATTAGACAGAGGGACCCTCTTCAGAGGAGAATGGGGGCTTGTTGGGATGGGGTGGGAGGGGGTGTGGGGAGGGGGCCTCTGAAGAGCTCCTATGCAGCCTCATAGAAGGGTCTCTGTCCTGGGCTCACAATAGAGTGAATTCTTAAAGATACCGGGAGCTGAAAGGAAGGAAGGAACTTTCCTCCTTTTAAAAAGGATTTTCGGGAACAATTGAAGAAGCTATAAAAAGGGGATCATTATTTCCCATCCAGTCTGCTGCGCTGGGAAGCCCTCCCTCCCCCTCCGAGTCCTGGGCTGGGAAGGTCTGACACATTCCTATGGGACAAACAGAAGAGGTAGGATGGTGGTCAGCAGCAAAGGGAAACTGGATGAGGGAGGCGCAAGCAGATGCCCTCCCTCCACAGACAGGACCTGAGGCACCTTCTCCCCAGGACCAGGGGCTCTGCTGCCTCCAGGTCCTCCTGCCTTAGAAGCAATGAGTGCAGAGAAGGGAATCTCCCAGGAACAACGTTTGACTCGAATGTGCATCCACTGCTGGACCAGTGGAGGATGCCCCCATCCTGCCAGTGATACAGGTGTGGACCCCAGAGGTGCACCATAGCCATGCAATGGCTAACAGATAGCCTGGCTACCGCTCACATGGATGGAGATGGACCAGCTCTGGGCGAGCATCACTTCCTCCCCAACAGCATAGTTTTATGCAGGCAAATCATCTTACATAGCCCAGAAAGAGGAGCTGAGGGCACAGCAGTTAGGTGGTGAGCTCCAGCTCAGCACCAACACAGAACCCAACCACTCTCCAGTGACCGATACCAGCCCTTGCTACCCTCATGTCCCCTGGTAACTGAGTCTCCTCCAAAGCACAACCAAGGAGAACACCCATGTACCAAGGGCTGCACTGCAGCATTTCTGGCATCTCAAACAGCAGCAACTATCACCCAGATCCTAATGATTTCCCACCCCAAAACTGAGCCCTGCTCATTGCATTATCTCCCCAGAGATGTGCAGGTGTCTCACCAGGGACACCACCAGGCTCCCTCATTTCCTCTTCACCTCCAACTTGCCAAGGAGATGCTGGGTCCACATGTGCACCATCAAGCCCATAGCAGAGCTCCAGCTGGCAATGGAGTCCATGCACAGCCCCACTACAGCAGACAACGGGTCCTGTTATCCGTGGTTTCAGCAGCATAGAGAAGCTCCTGTCACCTTTAACTGCCAGAGCTGGCTTCCAAGCTGGTTGCATCAGAGATCAGCATTTGGCCACCAGCTACAGGAGTACTCAGACTGCCTCTTGGTGTCACTGGCATCCCAGGTGCCAGCAGCAGGTACCCGTCCCTCTAACAGCAATACAGCCTACCTGGGCACACAGCAGTGTGAGCTTACCTGCTGAGAGCAAAGATGGGCACCCGACAAAGGAGCACCACCATCACCCAACCTACACATCCTAAAGGATCTGCACCCCCTGAGCCCACACACCACAAACGTGGTTCCTGACTTAGGAAAAACTTCCTGAAACACACTGGCCTGGAAGTGCATCTCAAAGGACCCCCAGCAGGAGCTCAAGTGCACTCAAATGGCAGGAGGGAAGCCCTCATCCATCCCAGACTGGAGAGGATGTGACACTGAGGTCCCCAAGCATCCTGCATCCGTCAGGCCCAGCACAGGACACATCCAAGCAGACCATGGCAGGACTTCAAAGCCAGTCTTGAAGCTCCTATACACACCCTGAAAAGACCTTTTTGCCCTTGTGACCAAGCCACGTTGCTGTCTTAGGCTGAGCTTAGAACAGGGCCACCGCTGCTCATTTCCTCCTTCTCCTGTCTATGGAAGGTATTGCTGCAGCCATCCCCAACAGATAACAGCTCTGACCCCCTCCTAGGGAGAAAAACCAAGACTAAAACCCCAAGGAGCAAGCTTCAAACAGAGTCTGATTGAGTAACATTTGCTCCTGATATGAAACCCATTCTGGCCTTTTCCATTGGGTTTTCTTATTGCAGGAGCACCGCCCAACCACCCAGGGATCAAACACATTTAAAGGCTTAGCTTTCAACCCCCCAGAACCCATCTGTGGCTTGGCAGAAAGAGCCAGCCAATGGAAGGGAAAGCATCACCTTCTCCAAGCATGGCTGCAGCACCACCGAGGTCTTCCCACCTCAGCTCAGCCTGGGAAGAGACCCTTATGGATGAAGCAGGAGAACCATCCCAGCCACAGCTATCCCAGTTTGCCCATAGGAAATCACTGCCTGGGATTCAGACGCTGCCCACAGGGGGAAAACCCCCAGAATAAGTAAAGGGGAAGCCCTGAAGCTCTGCAACCAGGCTGCAGAGCAGGACACGAAGCACATAGGCTCTGTCTCCAGGGCCTAATAAGGCAACACACTGTAAACCCTAATCCTGTGTTAAGAGCTTTCATCAGAAAGGAACAGTATTTATTAGGGAGTTATAGGAGGTAATGAAAGTGTTTTCAGGCAGTGTTTATACTGACATGGGAGGCTTTATGCTAGCGTTTGCCCCTTCGTTTTTGTTTCAAATACATCTTTCTGATGAAATAAGCCATTCTGAACAAGGCCACCCTTTGTAAGGCGGTTATAGCTTTCTGGCCAGCCCTGGTAACTGGCAGAGCTCTGTGCTTTCCTTGCCCTCTCTTTTGTTGCTCTGCTTCTCTGCTCAAAGTTCAAACAAACCAGAAACCCCCCAGCAAGCTGCTTTGTGCTCCTGGCATTATCCCCCCATTGTCTGCCAGAGCCACAGGGAGCGGGTGTGCCCCAAACATCTCAGCTCCTAAACCTCAAGGCCCTCTCATCATTTCTGCTACAGAAGAACCCCCCAGACAGAGGAGTTTGAGACCAAAACAGGCGAGATTTGGGCTGGTTGCTACTAAAACCCCCCCAGCACTAAGGAGAAGCGATGCTATTGTATCACATGCGTTTAAAACCAAGCATGGGAGGAACACACACCAAAATCACACCAAAATCCAGCCCTCGGAAGAGCCCAGGGCTTCCAGACTCCACAGCTCTGCTTCGCTGCAGGCAGAAGCCTTCACTTAGGAAAGAGCCAGGTCCCAACATCCCCTAAGTCCTCTCTGCACCCTGCAACGCACCGAGCAGGCAAGTGCAGGTGAGACAGCACCCAAGTGTGGGTTAGAGACTACAGAAACCCTACAACACACAGTTTGATTTGTAGCTGGTCCTCAAACAGCTCACGATGCCCACTGCAAGTGACTGTGACCAACAACCATCCCGGTCTGCTTTAGGGCCAAGTCCAAGAGCTGTGGGGTTAAGACCATGTGGGTCATTCCCCCCATGGCACTGATTTACTGCTCCCAGAGCATGGGGCAGGAGAAGCTCCTGCATCTCCAGGCACTGTAAGTGAATCTGCCAACACACAGCACCTGAGCCCTGCAGAGCAACCACCAGCGACCGCTGCCACCACAGCCCTCATCTCACCCTGCCACAGCTTCTGCTTTATGGCTTGGGAACACTCCCAGAGCGATGCTACCTCCTCCTGCCATTGCAAGGTAGGGATTGGATTTCTCTTCACACCTCAGTTAGGGACCCTCTTTGCACCAGAAACCACAGCACCCTGTGAAAGGTTATCGCCAACGCATCAAAAGAGGCTTGAGGGATGCCACGTCTCAGACTGCCTTTCGTTTTGAAGCACCTGAACACGGGAAGCAATAAGGAAGCTGCTTTGTAGACAGAGCAAGTCCAACACCCTTCTGCCCTATGAGGTCTCTGTCAGGGGGCTCAAACTCGGCACACATGTGGGGAGGGATTGAGCTGAACCTGGGAAGCTTTTGCCACCCATCCCTGATTTTACAGGGGGTGAGAAAGCTGATGTCCCAGCAGCATCACCTGCCTGCCCGCAGAGCAACAAGGCTTCCTTGTGCTCCCTGCCGCAGCTTCCAAGCTGGAATCTCCCCTTCACAGTGCCAGGCAGACCCAGATGCAGCTTCTTCCCCAGGCCTGAGTCACATCCCAGCCCTCTCCCCCCTCTTCCATCCCACCAGCTGTGCCTGTGATTGTAAAAAGATGTCTCAATTAGCAAGAGCTGAGCAATTCCTCTGCTCTCCAAACCCTTCAGAGGAAACACATTCCAAGCCAGCAAAGAGCAACACTAACAATGTCTGGGCAATAAAAGCTTCTCTTGTTTATATCAAAGCAACCTCAAACATCCTTTCCCCAAACAAGCATCCCTCGCCCTCCATAGGGACCAGCAGCTCACACACTGGGAGGACTGGTGTTCTCTGGGTCCCTGGGAGCAGACAGCACTCATTTCTCTGTGTGTTACTGGTTGCAGGTCTAGACTGGTGTGGTCTTTTCGTTGTAGCGAGCAAAATAAGGGAGTCATTCATATTTTTCCAGAATCCACACAAAAGTGCTCTTGTGCATCACGGATACTTTGCATCACCAACCCCAATCGAGTATTCCCTGATCCCAAGCTCATGGCAGACAGCACCTAAGGGTGGGAGACCCTCAGATCCAGTCAGGCAGGGGAAGGGGCTGCAGCTCCCAGGGCCCGGCCTCAGCATCACCTCATCTGGGCACCTGCCCCGGGTGCAACAGAGCCATTATGAGCCTTTCCAATGGAAGGAGAAGGAAAAAGTCCTGGCGTGCATGTGCCACCCCCAATAAAATAAATAAAATCAAGAATAAGACACCAGAAAACCTCACCTCCACACGGTTTTCTTTAGAGAAAAAGAGGAACCTTTCCTCCTCACACCAGCCGGACCGGTCTCTCACCCTCTGCCCGAACAAGGAGCATCCCCGGGTGGAAGCCCCCAGCCCGGGAGGGAAACATCCAGGACCCGACAGGACACAAAGGCAAAAGGAACCGACACACGGAGCCGACACCGGGGGGATCCGCAGCCCGCTTGGTGCCCCGCCATACCGAGCAGAGGAACAGAACCGCGGTAGGACCAAGAGTCCGGTGGGGATGCTCCGAACCAGTCCCCCCTTGGTCCGAGCGGGCACTTACCTCCGGTGGGCAACGGCGCTTCCCCCCGCATCCCTGAGGCTCCGCGAGCGGCATCATCACCCGCATCCTCCATAGCCACCGGCGCGGAGCCGGGTACCAGCGCCGGAGCGGGCGCGCAGGTGGCTGCGGGCCGGGACCGGCGCCTCGGCAGGCAGGGATGCTCCGACTGCGGGGCCGGGCCATTCCCCCCCTTATATATCCCCGCGGGCGGGCGGGCGGCGCGGCTTCACGGGACTTGTAGTTCCTCCCCCCCGGGCCGGGAGCCGCCTCCCGTCCTCCGCCCGTCCCGCCCTCCGTTTGTGGGCCCGCGGGACGGGAGCGGGGCCGGGCGGGGATGCTCCTCCCCACGGCGGTGGGGAAGAGCCCTCGGTTCCGCTTGGAAAAGCCCCGTGGGTCCCGGGATTCCAGGAGCCGGTCCCACGCCGAAGTGCGGGGTCAATGAGTAACCCCAGGGAATGCTTAGCGCGGAGAGCGATCGCTTCAATTGTCCCTGTATTGGTTATTGTTTAGTTTAATTATTGTCCCAATTATTAATTTAACTTAATTATTAACCCATCTGTGGAATGAATGAGCAATTAACTGTGCTGTTGACTTAGGGGCTAATTTAAGGCTCGTTCTTGCAAGCACGCTCGGTCCTGGCAAAGTCACCCGCTTGTCCTCACTGCGCAGGACCTTGTCCTACTCCTTACCCTGCTGCTCTACGAACGTTTGAGTCTGTCCAGGGGTTTGTAATGGGGAAATGCCCCAAAGGAGGCAGGGCCACTGCTCTCTCAGACAGAACCAGGACAGCCAGATTTGGGGCAAGGGAGAACATGGAGAGTGCTGAAGGTGCTGGCCAAAGGGGGATGATCCTGTGCACCCCTCATCCGGCAGGACACCAGGCTCAGCTCCGGGTGGGAAATGTCCCAGCCCATCACTTGCACAGGAGCAGGGGTCCACATCCAGCATCCTCCCACCTGCCCTGGGCTGGGGTTTATCCTCACACGCTCAGGAGAGCGGCTGGAAGGAAACCACAGTTTTCTAGGACAAGCGAGCAAGGGAGGCTGGGGAGGGAGAGGGAGAGCGAAGGGGAAGGGAAAAAGTCCCTCCTGGCAGGAGTTCAGGGCCCGAAGCCGGAGTGGAAACGCTTCCCTTCCCCTAATTGCTCCGGGACCAGATGAATTTCTTGAAGGAACCGCAAGTGCAACGCTGCACGAATCACATTGTTGTGCTTGTGTTGGCTGCCTTGGGAAGGAGGGAAAAGGTCAGCGTTTATGGTATATTAAACAGGGGAAAAAACACCATATTTCAGCGCTGTGGAGGAGGGGGTTGAGCTGCGCTCTCATCCCCATGGCCTGGAAATGAAAACCTGTTTGGCAAGCACCACAACGCGACTCGCAGCGAAGAGCAGGGAGAGGAGAACGTGGTGCAATGGGGCTCTACTGCAGCCCCTTGTGCCCTGTCCCATCCCAATCCCTTGTCCACGTGCAGGAGCAGGGATCCACGTGCTGCTCTCATGGGATTCACCACCCCATAGCGGCTGCACTGCTGCAAGTCTCTGCAGCTTCTGTGCCTGAGAGGTGCATCACTGCCTGCATGATGGTCCTGCACTGGTGGGAAGTGGGAGGAAAGTCCTGAATCCCGACTCCAAGAGCTCCTCTGGTTTGGTTCCAGCACAGGATTTGGCTGCTGGTTTTCCCATTGCTCAGTAGAATGATGGAAGCACAGCCTGAGCTTGGATGGTTGGGCTTGCAGAAGACAAATAATCACCTCTGAAACACTTTTAAGCAGCTTTGCTCCCTTTCCCAGTGGTGTTCCCTTCAGAACCACAAGCCCACAGGACACAGTGCTGTCAGACATCATCCCCCAAAGTGCTGCAAGGCTCTGCCACAGCTCCACAGCCTTTTGCCAGCCACCTCTGCCCAGTGCAAAGAACCACACAAAGTCCCTTGGTGCTGGTGATGCGCACAGAGGCCCCCAGCCAGCCTCTGAGGGATGAACTGGAAAGGAAAGGTGCGCTCCCCATTCACAGAGGCGCCTGGCGTTGATTTATGGGATGCTCTCCCAGCCCCGGTTGTGCAAGAAGATGACGTGATGGTAAAAGGCTGTGGAAGATGCTGAACCCTGCGGTGCCGGTGCCAGGTGAGGCAGCGGGTGAGCAGGCGCAGGGCTGAGCACACCCAGGCATGGCCTTGCGTGACTGCAGCGGGCTGGAAACACAAAGACATTGTTTTTAAGTGATAGCCACCCCCCCTTCCCCGTCTCCTTGCAGAGGACAGCATTCCTGGCTCGCATTCCTCAGCCACTGCTGGGATGGGGAGGGGAGACCTGAGCCAGAGGGAGAAAACAGAGTTTTAATGAGGAGAATGGCCCGTGTGCTGGAGTCACGGTGGTGCTGGTGGGGGCAGAATTGCCCATGAAGCAAGATAAAGTGTGTGAGGAGCAGGTAATAAGATAATTATGGTATAAGAATGTCAACCAGATGTTTCCAATCATGGAAAATCAGTGGTTTCCCAACAGATCTGCTCCGAGCAGCTGAAAGCATCCTTTATCCCAACAGGGATAAGGCACCGTGAGGCAAGCAGGGCCCATCTGCTCTAACCTGCAGCAGCATCAGCCTGTTCTGGAGCCAGGAAAACTGCTTCTGCTTGTAAAAGCTGTGTTAATACAAACACCTCCTCGGTAGCGTGCTTGGGTTCACAGCCCGGGGTCCTGTTACTTTTACCACACCACTTTTGTGAATGGCACCTCTATAAAGCGAATGGCACCTCTATAAAGTTCACTGTGGACTTTGCTGTTGATTCTTACCAAAAAAAAAAAGGAAGGGGGAGAAAGGAAAAGGTGTTTTGTGATGGGCACCAGCATTGGCAAAAGAAAGCAGAGATTTGGGAAGGATGTGCTGGGAATGAGTTCGCACAGGATGGCTGTTCCCAGGGCCCGACCAGCACTGTAACCTCTGGAAGTCCTCTGACCTTCAAATACCCTCCCCAAACCCGTTAAATATACAGAAATATATGGAAGTATGGAAACAAAAAGGTTTTTATTTCATGTGCTGAGAGTGCCAAGTGTCTGCGGGAGCCAATAAAAAACCCTTGCTCCAGGGAGCTGCGTTTCAGGTGAAACACAAATACCCTGAATCTTTACCCAAAACTTGACCCCAAAATTGAAAAGAAAAACCCTGATGTTTTGTAAAAGAGGGGGGAAAACGTGGTTCCAGGTTTCCAGAGTTATCCCAGCACTGGATCGCAGCCTGGACCACGAGCGGGTCCCTGGGAAGGATGGGCTGTGGGAGGAAGCGGTGGGAAACCTCCTTGGATGGAGCTGGAGCAAAGCTGTCTCAAAAGCAAACCCATCCCAGTTCAGAGCTAAGGGTCCCGTCCCTTCAGGCTTAGAGCCCAAACAGGGAAGAGGAGTGGAGGGAATGTCCCCATCAAAACACATGGGGACCACAAAAGTGGGTGTCAGCAGCAGGTCAGTCCCAGAGGACAGCCAGGGTAGGACCACTGGGTAACAGAGAGCACAAAGGGCTGGTGAAGGCAAACGGCACCTTCCCCAGCACAGGGATCCCAGTTCATTCCCCATCCAAGTAGAAATTCCTCCGTTTAATGCTCATTCTCCCAGGCCATGCACCCTCACACACCCACAGCTGCTCCCGCAAAGCCCCTTGGGCCCATCTCAGCATCACACCCCAAGACAGGAACAGATACTTAGAGACAACCAGAGGCAATTCCATACCCTGCTCCCATGACTTTCTGCCTGCTCACAGCATCCCAACAGCCCTTCCTAAGCTCCCCAGCACAGTAGGAAGGGAAAAGCCATTGCAGCTATGAGAAGAGGCCCATCCATCACCTATTTGCACAGTGACAAAAGCAAAGCAGGGAAGAGAGGTTTAAACGCCATTGCCAAGGTCAGGCAGGAGCTCTGGGGCTCAGGACCTGCTGCTCTCCTCCATGGCACCATGTCCCTCCCAGCCCCTCAGGCAGGCAGTGGGAGGAAGACTGTTGGGAAGCTTTCATCCCAATGGCAAATAGCCATAAACCCCCAAAGACCCCATATAATGAAAGCAAAGGAAGGGAACAGGTAAAGTTACAAACCATAAAATCAAGATCTGCTTTATGCTGGGATTAGGACAAAGAAAACTCACGTTCCTGTGATGCTAACCCCACGCCAGTGTACATATAGGCTGTGTGTTTTATGCTTAAGTTACTTAAAAAGACCTTTAAAGCCAAAACACTGCTAAGCAGTACATTGTGTGCTCTGCTGGGAAGATAAATTCATTATTTAAGCTTGAAAAGGTGACTCATCTAACATCTATTATAGCAAAGGCATAAAAACACACACACGCAGCGAGATTTTCAAGGAGCCCAGTGATTTAGTGTCTCTTTCTTTCTCTCCCCACACTTCTTGCCTCCTGCACAAGGATCTATTGAGAAGCTGCAGAACAAACGTTCCCTTATGCAGCTCCAAAAAAGTCTCCGTCGGTTTGTCTGAGACAGCTGCCTCCAAGCACACTATGGTTACTCATTAACCGGGGCTCCCAGGGCAGGGGAAGAAGGAGCAAACTTAATAGACCCTAAACCAGAGGGGGGGAAGAAGGAAAGCAAATAAATACATCAGGTGTCCTGGAAAATAGAGTGGAAAAACCCAGGTGGCACCATGGGCACCCCCAATGCAGAGGGTCCGGGGAAGGGCAGCCACTGGAGCAGGAGGTGACAATGACACCGGGAGTAAACGTATGGGGACAAAAGAGTGGGATTATTAAAGGGAAAGAGAAGAAAGAGTGGGGACAGAGAGGCACTTGTGTTCTGCAGTGCTTTATATGCTCCGGGTGCCGGGGGAGGATTACTTCATTGCGGTGAAGTTGCCCGGCTCTGCTCCGCAATGGAGGGATTCATTCCCTCCCCCTCGCACGTTGTGCATGAGAATGAGGGGCTGCTTTGGCTGGGGAGCACTTTGCAGTGGGTCACTCTGCTCCCGAGGCCTCTGGCTGCCAGGAAAAGCGGTGCCTGCTCCCGTGTCCCACAGCAAAGCATCCCTCCTGCAGGCAATAAGGATGGGGAGGTCTCCTCCTGCCACCCCATCACTCAGGTGCACCCCACCACTTCCACCTTCACAGCGATCCTTTATTCTCACACTGGATCTTAGTACATGAGCTACATCCCCCAGCCAAACGGTGGATGGATTCTGCCCACATGAGGCTGGATGCTCCCATGACCATCACTATCGCCTGGGGACAGCATAGACCTCACACCACTGTCCACAGAGCCAGCAAAACACCCAGTATGAACCAGCTCTTCCAGC